CGGTTTTTTTGTATATATGAATGGACGTTAATTTACCTTAGATGAATATCTACACTCGAATCCTTCCCAGTGTTCATTCTACAGGACCCAGATCAACGACACGTGATTAGCCTGATTAGAATGTAAATATATTCCCACACCAAAAACCAACAACAGGCCGACACAATCCAACAACCATCAACAATCAATAGTAATAAACAATTCCGTAGCCATTTGGAAAAATCTCCCGGTCTCACATTGTACGAGCATTCCATTTACTAAATTAATGGTTGCTCTGGGGCATCAGCCTCGTGACTTCCTAAGGAACTCGGTTTTCACCATGAGGAGTTATAACTTTTTTAAATAAAGAACTAACTTCCAGGGTAGAGTTCAAATGGTTTGAGTTATTATTTTGGTTAGTGTGTCTTTAGTGAGTTAATTTTCTACGAAATGGGCTCGCTAACACCATGTCCAACCCTCCTCCTTTACCTGAACTTGGGACCGGCAGTAGCCTCCGGAGTGGCTCCAGGCGGAGTTAATAATTATAAGGATAGGGGATAAATAACTCATCTAACACTTGTCAGACTATCTACAAGTCGGATCAAGCAAACGATCAATCATTATCATTCTCATCTACACATCAATTCATTTATGTAAAACTTAAATGAATAATCAGAAAATAATGTTGTTTTGTCTCCTTTTTAAATAATTCGATACTACCTATTTATAAAATCTCAGTGAATGAATTCGAAGTAAATCCAACGTTTTGCCTGATAATCTGGTCCAAGTTTTTTTTCAAAGGAATTACTTCAAATTCATTCGCTGAGATTTTACAAATACATTCTACCCCTTTAATGTTCATATCAACTCGGTGCACAAATACTGTGAAACTATTCGACCACAGCTTCGTGTTTATCAGTATTCCTCTCATTAAAATCGTTTCTTCATCTGTACACAGATATATTTTCAACTGATTGATTCTTCCACAACTCATAGACCAAAATCACCTAATAACCCGTAAAATTTAATCAAATCTTACTCAACTAATGGCTATTTATATCGTAATGTCTTATGAAAAGGCTAAATATTGGCATCACGATTAACAACATTAACCTCATTCGTAAAGTGACCTTGTCCTGATTTAGTTTATCCCAACAAAAGACATGTTTTAGTACATCATAAGTGTGTAAACGTCAAACAATGACCTAGAAGACTAAAACGTATTATTAGACAGATTATAGATTAGAACCAATTTGTGTTAATGTTTGTAAACGTGTCATAAATAGACAACATTGCCTACTGTGAGCTTTGTGAATAAGAAAATCAACAGACTTGAAGATATTTAGACATGAATTGTTGAGATGACTTAACTATATGACTGAAGGGCTAATTTGATTGTTATTTGTCAAATGGCAACTTTCAAGTCTCTAACATAGCGTTTCCAAAATACTGTTTAAGGAAAAACAATTACACTCCAATTATTTAAAACTTTGCCACTTAGTTTTTCATAAATTTAGGTAAAAAATTTGAAAACACTATTGAAATTAACATAATGGACATTTCGTGTTTGACCAAATTAAGGAAAAAATGTGTGTGCTAACTAAATGAAAAACAACATATAAGGTATATGTTTAAAACATTCCAATAATTCGTACAGAGCGAAATTTACAATCTCTTCAGAAAACGTCTATTGGACTCAAATCAATTAAACGATTTGTGTCATACAGTCAATATTGAATAAAATAAACCATGTGTGGTCCACTTATCCATCTGCTCACCTCTACAAACATCCTACGCCTTATTCGCTAAGCTAATGAGATCACTTAGTTTACGAGTATAAGTTTTTATTTTATTTGTGAAATTTCGATAGTGTAAGATGAAGACGATGATTATCAAAACTATTTGATATATTAGTGTAATACATTTCGAACAATCTGATCACACAGACACTTGTTAAGAACATTCATACATAAAAATAATAGGTCAACTAGACTAGAAATGGATGGTTAGAGGAGACAAGGATAATAAGGTAATAATGTGAAAACAATTTGGAACCTCATTACTCTGGATAATAAGCTAATATTATCAGTGTAGGTTTAAGGTAAAAGCAAACTGTTTTTGAATACACAAGGAGGGTTTGAATTTTCATATGATCAAGGCTTCAATAAACCTTAGAATACGCTCTTTTACGCTTTTGTACACCACCACATAAGCCGGGTTAAGATCCATCTTATGATCTGTTTGCACTATGTGTTTGACAATAAAGGATGATGGATACTTATACTCTACTCTTTTGGGTCGTCTGAGTTTATGTTTCTGCAACCATTTAATTACATGTTCGCACACCCTAATTTTGAGATCACGTTGTGTAGCCACACACTTTGAAATTGATAAACACAGTAAGATGTGGCCCAATCGTTTTCATGACATCTAGGTTCTTAATGAAGCATGGATCTTATTCTTTCCTCGATCGGCGGCCTGCTTGAGCATCTGGGCTACCTGTTCCTGCCATCTAGATATTTCAACAAGTTATCTATCTTTGTTTGTTTTAATATATCATTATGTCTATTAATCGCACAACCTATACTGCTGCGTTTCTGAAAAATGTAAAACCTTTCGTTATTAAAGTTACAAAAAGCTCAAAAAGAGAGAATATGGTTGCTGGCAATGTACAACGAAAAGAATGTACATCATTCCCATGTTCATTTACTGGACTGATAACATCTAGCTGGCGACCACTCAGTATTTATCGCGAGGACCGACCAAGAAGAAAGAAACGGAAACTTGTTGAAATACTTTGTGCTGAGAATTCTATATTGTACCAATAATATAATATTGAATAAAGCTATTAATAATAATAATAATAATAACCTTTACTGTGTAATACGTCTAATTAATGACTGCTTTAAGCCTTTGTTTCAATAAAAAGCTGTTTGAATCACCTCTAAATGGTAAGATGATATAGACAGGCTTTTTTTCTACCAAGGCTATAGTAGGTCTCCCTGTACCATGATCTTTGCATCAATTTATGAATTTAGGGACTAGACATTTTCTATTAATGTTCGTTCAAAAACCTAACATCACCATCAATAGCGTTATTTTTGCAAATACGATCAAGCCTGTTAAACAGACAACTTATCAAACCACGTTTGTATTGCACAGGGCAATAACTATAATCATCAAAGTATTGGCTTGTCCACGTTAGTTCTCTATAAATGGATCGTTTGATTGAACCATCTTCTCGTCTACTTAAAAAAGTATGTATAGGAAGGGAAACTGGCCGTTATTCTCCTCTTCGTATGAAAGACTAATGTGGTTTTGGAGAGTGTTACGTTTGTGCAATAAACCGTTCATATCCTCCTTTGTTTAACAGACAACTGAGATATCAACATATCTCTTATAAGGTGACATGTTTTTGATTAAGTCTGTTCAATTAGACGTCTGCTGTTCAATTTAATGACTGCAGAAGACCATACCTTGTATAAATTGTGCATCCTGAGCAGAGTATTTGGATTGCGTTATTTAATGACAAATTTTAGTAATTGTTAGACAGTTGTCAGCAGTAGAATACAAGATTATTAATCAGCTAGAATCTTCAGTAACAAATCTTTATAGCTCAAGTAGTAGTTTCTTAATAATGTTTTACTTTTGTGGGTGAAACTCGTTGTTATGAATTTAAGTTGTGGTCGACTTTTACCCTGTGCTAATTGTTGTGTCCTTGACTGGAAAATTAGAGAGCAGCGTACTTATCGATCGGTTCAATGACACATAAACACGTACGGACGGCCTAGAGTCTCGATTGGTCTCACTTCCCTGTCTAGCCCAGTCAGTTGAGTCCAGAACACAAGTCACAGCCTCGGAGATATGAATCACTATATTTCAAACATACTTTGTTTATATACCAATCAAGCATACCACATCGTACCATAAAATAGAAAACAACATTTTGTACAATATTCAACAAGTGAACAGATATCGACCAATAGGGAATGTCCATTTAAAGTCCAAGGACACCATTGGACTTAACATGATAATTATTGGTCTATTCCTGCGCATCCACAACACTCGTTATTGCACTAATCATGAATACAAATATATGTTTGTTTTCTCTGCCATTTTTATACGCTTCAAACAATGTTGTTATGTTAAAAAGAATTCATTACTCGATACCTTATTATTTAAAAGTGACCCGGAATATCAGTCTATTTATAACTTTCTCCTTTCAACTTCGAAGTATCAACGTTCAGCCTCTCAACACAGACCAGATTCTGTATTAATTTTTCATTCATGTACTCTTATATTTCATCTCAACAACAGACTAACCGAATAGCTCATTCATTCATACATAATTCTTAATTTTATTAAAAACCTTGATCTCAAATTCAATTTCGAAGATAAGTTTCAACAGTAGATAAACTTTACATACTTTCATCAATGCAATAAAACAAGACATTTGAGTGGACAAATTTATTATCATTATTATTTTTTTGAAAGCTAACATCAATCAAAACTTAGAGCCCTTTTGTTTTGTCACTACTTCAGTTTAATGATCTATATAATGAATTCATATTCCAAAACTTATTTTAATAGAATACTAATATTAATTCATAGAAAACTATAGAGAATTCAAATCAATTAACCCGGAATAAAAAAACATTTCAAATTTATCTCTTTCTTAATAAATAGAATTTAATCCTTTTTATTATTTTAAATAACATAATAAAAGAAATTATGGTTATACTGACTGTTTCTAAGTGAATAAGCCACAACAAATTTAAAGGGAAATGATTGGATAAAAATAAATGAACCAATCAAATTCATTTTAACTAAATAAATGACAATCATCAGAAATTCTTCACGATCACATCATTGATGAAGTAGAATAAAAAATTTTACAAAAAAAAAACGAAACAAATTAGTTTTCATTAAAAGTTGGTTATCAATTTTTTTTTCATTATTAAATTCTTCCATATCCATTGAATAATGAATTTTAATTACATAGAATATCTTATCTAATCTGATTTGTATAGTTTATATTGTATTGTAATATACGTTATGTTAAATATTTGGTTCTTTGAATGGAATTGGTATATATAATTCATCAACAATTACAATTTATATTAATTATATGTTGTATAACATTGAATGATACACGGATTATACGTTTTCATATTCATGAAGAATTAAAAATTAATACCTTTATTGGAAATTTATTGAATCATGTAAATGGTAGTTTAAATAATTTACGTTTTGTTAAACTATCTAATCATGATGATTCTTCTAAATTATTTCATGTTGATGAATATACTGGTGATATAAGTAATCTATATAGATTAGATAGAGAAAAATTATGTTTTATAAATAATCAATTAAATAAAGAACAAAAATTCTATGAACAATCAATGAAACAATCAATAATCAATTATCCGATATTAACTAAATGTGAATTATATTTTAGTGTGAATTGTTTAAATACAACACCATTATTAAATATATCAAATCATATAAAATATAAACCGCCTGTTAGTAATAAATTAATAACTATATTTGATGTCATTATTGAATTGAAAGATATCAATGATAATGGTTGTCAATTTATTCCATCCAATCAACAAATCATTAAAATCCGTGAAGATTCATTAATTAATGATACACGTTTTACATGAATATACCATATGATCCAGATGATATGATCAGTGGGAATTCTGTGAAACTAGATCGTATTTGGATCAATAATGATTCGAATATAATAAATAATAATCAAAATATATTAAATTACTTTAAATTACATAGTCTTACATTATCGAATAATATTACAATATCTAATATATATTTAGAATTAGAATTAATTCAAAAGTTAGATTATGAAAAACAACGAAGTTATTCATTTCAAATTGTAGCCGATGATGGTATTTCATCAAATGATCATCAATGTTATCTTAATGTAACTATACTTGTAGAAGATTGTAATGATCATATGCCAATATTTGAACAATCTATGTATATTGTAAATGTAAGTGAAGATACACCAATAGATCAAATAATTTTAAAATTGAATGCCATTGATGAGGATGAACATGAAAATGGCAGGATTATTTATAGTTTCAGTTCATACACAGATGATATGGATGAGGAGAAATTTTTCTATATTGATTCGGATACCGGTGAAATTAGATTACGTAATCGTCTAGATTATCGACAAAAACCGCAACATGTTTTGAAAGTATTTGCCAAAAATCCTGAAAATACTACATTAGGACATTTAAAATCTTCTCAGATTATTTCAGAATTATCGGTAACACAGATTATTGTAAATGTAATAGATGTAAATGATCATTTTCCTCGTGTTCGAGTCCTATCTCCTACTGGTTCAAAAGATTTGGAAATAATCGAAGAATCACCACCTGGGCAAGATATAGGGATTGTGGAAGTTTCAGATGGAGATACAGGAACTAATGCTTTTGTTAATTGTAAAATAATTAATCAAACTATGTCAGGTGTGCTACGTCTAATTCCTATCAACACTGAAGGTGTTCACCTAGGTTTAACAAGCTCTAATCATAAATATAAAATAACAATGGAAAAGCGAATAGACAGAGAAGAAAATGATGTCATAGAGTTTACTATTTTGTGTCATGATGGTGGAATTCCTTCGCTAACAACCACCCTTACACAACGTATAAAAATTATTGATATCAATGATCATGATCCAATTTGTGAACAGAATGTTTACAATGTTGAAATTATTGAAGATTCCGATCCAGAAAGAAGTAAATCAAACTTTGAAATTATAACTATTCATGCCAGTGATAAAGATGAAGGTCAAAATGCTAAATTACGTTTTAGTCTTGACCATGAAACTCCAACTTTTCTTTTAAACATTGTCACAATTGATTCAAATTCAGGTACTGTAAGTACGTTAGGAAATTTAGATCGTGAAAAATTAAATGAATTCACCGTAACTATTATCTGTTCCGATTATGGTGAACCAATAAGAACTATTAAAATTTTAATTCATGTAAAAGTTTTAGATTATAATGATAATTCACCTGTTTATTCTCAACCTTATTTACAATTTAATATTAAAGAAAATAATGCAATTGGACAATTAATTGGTAAATTTTATGTTACAGATAAAGATTTAGGTAAAAATGCTGAATTAGACATTTATATTGAAGAGAATATTGAACGACCTAATATGTATTTAACATCTCTAAATAATAATTTGAATATACTTAATGATATTGAACAGTTAAGATTTAATTCAAGAGGTCTTTTACTTTCATCTGGTCTACGACAAACGAAATACATTGAATCCATACAAAATTTAGATTGAATTCATATCCATTACATAGAAATTATTATAATGCTTTGACAACAAATGAAACATCATATGAAGTTAAATTATATATAGAATCTGTAATAGATCGTGAAAATCTTATTACAAAAAGTACTAATTATATATCTAAAGCTTTATCCATTTATGAAACATTTGAATATGTCAATCATAATTATAATAGATTATCACAATTAACTAATAAAACAAATTATTCTATGTTAACACCAATGATTATATTGATTGTACATGCACAAGATAAAGGGATACCAAAATTATCTGAAACTATTCAAATACATATACAAATCTTAGATCAAAATGATAATTCACCACGTTTTATTTTTCCAAATTCAACAAATTTAAATAGAACTAAAATTTTTTTATCTTATAAGGAACCAAAAGGATATGCATTTACACAAGTAAGTAATATAATACTATTGTGTAATATCATTTATTCATCATTATGTTTTTTTTTTATTAGAAAGATTGATTAAATCTTGGTATCCAGATGATCTTAGTACAATATTTGAAAAATAAAGCTTGACACTAAGAAAGTCAGCAAAAACAGAGATTGGATTAGACATTAACACTGTTGGGTGCCGACCAGCTCAGTGGTTTAGTAGTTAAGCGATCGCTCGCAAGGTCCAGGGTTCAAGAGGCGGGATCGTAAATGTGCACTACTAAGGAGTCCCATCATAGGACGGGACGGCTGTCAAGTGTTTACAGGTTTTCCATGGTTGTCTAGCTTCAAATGACTCATAATCTCAACTATTGAGATTACTATAATATCCACAAAACTCTTTCTGATATGAAATATTGATTGTTCGGTAATTATTTTAGTTAACTGTTAGCTTGACTTCTTGACGTTCATTTTTTAAAAATATAACCAGTCAGTTGAAGTAGATTTTGATAGTTGGATGTAGTCAAAAACTCATCATCTGTAAAACTGATTAATTATTTAATGGTAAGCATTGTTAGACTCGTCTAGTGCTGATAAAATCAAATTCCAATATGATCAATAGTACAAGTGTCTAGACATTGTGTGCACTGTTTGGTTGGCAGCAATAGACTAGAAACACAAAATATTAGTTTCTAGCTGATGAAAACTCGTTGAACAAGTGATCAAACTGTAAATTGATCAACCGAATTCGATTAACACTCGGACTAGGTAAAGATGGTATTGATCGTTACTCAGTAACTACTACTCAATGATTCTCATTATGAATATAGATACAGATAATTTGGAATAGATATTTCAGTTGACAGAATAGAATGTTCATTTTAAATAGTGAATAGAAATGTCTAAATGAAGCTTTGTAAACAAAACTATTCAAGGATATTAAAAAAGAACGAAATGTATTGTTTATTCAGAGAAAAAAATCTGTTGCCTGTCCAGATAAATTTATTGTTTCTTTAAAGTAGAGAAATATCAAACTGCGAAAGGACGAAAAATATCATATCTTATGTTATCAACATAAATCTTAGCAAAAAACTAAAGAACTTCGTTATATCACATCGAATTCAATGGAATTCCATGTCTTTTGATGTTATAACTTCATATTTACCTGATAATAAAATACATTCCTGAGGATTCAACTTCTTTCGGTGATAGAAATCCATGAAAGAAAAATGACTTAAAACAAAGTTTGATCATTTTTTTGTATGTTATAATTACTTAGATCATCTTTGCAATGTTAAGTAACAGTCTTGTGGATGCGCACTGCTGAAGAGTCCCATAACAGGACGAAATGGTTGTCCAGTGCTTCCAAGTTTTCTATGGTGGTCTATCTTCAATTGATTCATGACCTCAACTATTGGAAAAACTATATAAACAAACTAACCACAATTGCATTTTCAACTCATAAGGATCTTCTAAAAAAAATAAGTAGTTAGTTAAATGTCAATAATAAAGATGGCATAGAAACAAATCGAAATTGTACATCTTTCAATAGTTGGTCAACAATTGCATAATCCAAAAACAAGTGTGAACCGTATATCATCAATTTAATATGAATGTAAGATTGTTAGCCATCATAGTTTTGTGATTAGTTATCATTGCTGTTATATAATGTCTCCTAAATTTTTTTTAATTTCGGAAAATTCAGTTTGTTATGTGGAACTGATTCACTTAATTAAGTAAATATTTAGAAAATCTATATTCAACTTTATTATCCAGAAATTGACTTACTTTCTTGATGACCTCATTAAGAAAGACTTCGAAAACTGTGTCTCATGAGTCTAGTATTGAGTCTAGTTGTCAAAAATATTCATAATGACATTGTCGTATTATACAAAATACAGTATACAAAGCCTTTTACTAGATTAAAGTACAATGGAAAAGTATAATTGCAGCACATAATCATTCTCATTGATAATTAGTTTGTATATAACTAATTTAAGTGCTTTCCAGTAGCTAAAAACAATCACCAGTTTGTACGTATCATTACCAAGGTTTGACTTGATAATTTCGAATCAATTGAGCATTGTTTAGATTTTTATAAATAAGTAATATATTTATAATATCCCAAACTTGGATTAATCTTGATTTTGCTATCTGTACTCTGAAGAAGTGGCTTAAACTAGGTTACGAAACGTTAGAAAATCTAATTTTTCTACTCATTGTTAAATTTCACTGCATAATTTCAATTTCCGAATAACTGAACTTCTTTTCATAAATTTATATACTAACCATATGTTTATTTTCTCCGCTTCGAACAACATACTTAATGTTTAGGTAAATAACACAATTTATCTGTACAAATTCTGATATGTTAGACAGAATTCGAACCTACAGTCCACTAAGTGAAGACCGAATAATTTTACCACAATGTCAAAATCAGTATTGCATAGTAAAATTTCCATTAGTAATTCATTGAATCATAATTTCAATTGAATTTTCGCAGTTCCTTTATTTCGGGTAAAATTCTCAAGATTCTTCTTTCGAAGTCCTAAATCAAAACTTAGGTAAATTTACACTTCATTTAACGCTTCTGAATATTAATTTAACCTCACTGACATGTGGTCTAACAAACTCATGGCTGATTTATAAGCAAAGATCAAAAATGGCTAACATTGGAATTCAGGATGCATGTTTCGTCTTATTTGGGACTCGTCAGCTGGATATACCCGCATCTCACAGTTGATGTTCACATTGGGACTCAAACCCAGTACCGTTCGTTTCAAACTCTATCGCGTTATCCACTTAGCTTCGAAGTTCACTAGCTTGATGCAGGTACATCCAGCAGACGAGTCCCAAGTACGATGAACTAAGTGTCCTGGATTCCACTGTTAGCCACTTTCTATCTCTCAATATAATGCTTGTGAATTAAGACAATATGGAGGCAGTCCACACAGGATGAACATATGTCTATAACAGACTGATCAATTACAGTCCTAAACAACCATGGAAAGATACAAGTAAACGACATCAAATGAATTCAGAACTGATCATTTTATTAATAAATATGCTAAACTTTTGTAAAAAAAAAAGGAATTAAAGCAATTTACATAGCTTAAAATAAATACCCCAGAGAAAATGAAGTTTCTATTTCATTTAGATAGCAAATCATGTTTTGCTTACTAGTTATGTAATATATATAGTTGATTTATTTATTGAAAAAAAGTAATATTCTAATCACTAAGATTTAGTTAGTTAGTTAATTAGTTAGTGACATGTATGAATGGACAAGTTACAATGTTGTTTGTTTGTTTGTTGTTGGCGGTGGTGTTGTTGTTGTTGTTGTTGCTAAACCACTACTTCATTTTATATTCTTTATACTGTTGTAAATATGTTTCATTACCTCTAAATGAATAATCGAGCTAGATACTTTAATGGATACTTAGTGTTCATAATGTATGATGGTTTTAACTGAATGTTTGTGGTAACAAACCAAATGTACATATAGTAAATGATAATAAATCATGTAAATATAAAGTTTATATTATTAAACAATATAATTCAATATAATAAATCAAATACAATAAATCTCTTGGGAAATCAAATTCTCTTTTCATCGGTTACATTTTATTTTAATGTTTCACTAAGTTACATATATATGTAGATGAGATAATTAATGTAATGAACAGTTTATGTAAGTTAGTATATGAATGTGTATAATGAGTAGAAATTATAGAATGTAGTTCGTAGTTGAATCATCAAATTAGTTAAAAGTCTTTTGATATTATTATTATGGATTAAAAGTTAAGGATTCAACTAGAAGATGAGAGATTTTGTTGATATGTTTTAAGTAGATCAAATGAAGGTCAATATAAATGAGGGTCATTATTGATCAATTGATGACTTAAAAAAAACAAGTACCTGAATGAATGATTAGAGTCAATGCTGCTGGAATATATTTGTATATATATAAAATTTATACTAAGATAATGTGACATGGTACTAGAGTTATTCTCATTGTTTTCATGTCAAATAAGGGTATGGTATTCAGGAATTCTGGTTATTTTTCAATTTAAAGCAATTAGCCCATTTGATACATTTGGATAGTTTATTAAGAAAATGGAGATTATTAGAACCATGTGCTATATTAACACAATATATTTCGAATAATCTTATCAGCCTAATACTTGTTAAGAGCAGTTATACATAACAATCAAAAGTCAACTAGACTAGAAATGGAAGGTAAGAGAATACAAAGACAATATGGTAAATAATATGAAAAACTATGTGAAAACTCATCACTTTAGATAACAGATTAACATTATCAGGGTAGGTTTAAGGTGAGAACAATCTGTTTGTGAATATACAAATGGGTGTTGAATTTTTGTATGGTTAAGGCTTAGTATATGCCCTTCAATTAATCTGGTTATGACCTTTGCGTATTATAGAGTAATTGTGATTAAAGAATGAGAGTTAAAATTTACAAAGTGATGTATCGAATTAGGCTTAATTGTGTATATCTAACGATTCCAACTTACAAGGATGTGTGCGTGAACTTTTTGATTGATTAGATTTCATCTTACAAACAATGTGGAATACGGATTACGTTTTTTCTTTGATTTCTAGTCTATCTGATGATGTATTTATTATTTAGTCACTTTTTTCACCGATTAATGTATTAAATATATATATTCACGGCGCGCGTATCATCATACTTCAGACTCGTCAACTGAGTACTTGCATCCAAATGTTGGTATTCACATTGAGACTCTGACTAAGTACTCGTTGCTTAAAAACCCTAACGCATTACTCAATAATTCACGGACTCGCGTTATCGACATTAAAAACTGTATTGCGTATATTTATTAGTATATGTACATGTCGAATTGGGAATCTTCGATTTAGTCACAATAGCCACTGTTGAGACAATTTTCTCGGGATACATGTACATGAGGATACATAAAATCATCAGCCAGGAAATTTAAGCTCCTGCATATTCTACCCGGTTTTCATGAGCACTTG